TTCTTTGAATTAACATTTTAAATGTGACTTATTGCAGGTTTAATATTGTCTTAATGCCAACCTGGGAAACTCCATAGCCAAGTTGTTGACGTTTAAATTGAATTCATTTGGGTGGCTCCAGGGGGACTCATTAATTAATCTAAACAACTAATGGGGATTGGTTCTGACTTTTGATGAAGATTATTTACAGAGACAATTTGCAGTGAATAAAGAGTCACAGTAGGCAAATGTTTAATTGAATTTAAAAAAAAAAAAGGACATCTCATTGTGTTTCATATCAAGGATGCATCTTGCAAGTAAGCTTTGAAATACCAAGAAAGGGACGATTGCTTGAAGCTTCCTAGCTGCAACACTAATAACAAAGAGAATGAGTAATTACATTTGCCTGTGTAATTTACAGCTTGCAAGAGGACAACAGGTCTGTCTGGTTTACAGTACACGTACAGGAAATATTCTGTATTATGAAGACCAAGTTGCCCCACTCACTTTTACTCACATACCAGAAAAGGGCATTTCCCAACCAATCATCAGCTGTAAAAACAGAGCTAACTCCTCTCACTTGCAGTTGTTCTGGGTTTTTGCAAGTGTAATGAGCTCAGCAGAGCTGTTTTAATTTACAACAACTTAACCTATAACATTCAATCTTCTTTTATTCTTTGATTATATCAGCTTTAGAATCAGTTATTTGCACCTCCGAGTGCACCACAAGCCCGGCAAGCACTAACATCTTGTTGTGTGGCTAGTTTTCAGTAAGACGCAGCAGCAAAACAGTACCTGCTTCTCTGTGTATCTGCACTCATTAAAGCAAATCACCCTTTAGCATTTTTTTCACTGTTATTATCATTATCCCATCTCACCTTGAAGTTTCTGCTAACACCAGAGGTTGCCACCAAAGCAAGAAAACACACTTGTACTAAATGCTGGGCACACCTGCAATCCAAGGGAAACACAGCTCCCACCCTGCAACCCTGGATCCTGAGGGCACAAGCACCTCTACATATCTGTGATTTCAAGCATGAATTCTTGAAGAGCAGTTGTATGTTTAACACAAAGCATGCACGTTACTGGCAAGCATCCCAAGAAAGCACAGCAGACCAAGGAGTGAGACGGAGAGGTAGATCATGAGGCAAAGAAGTCAGCAGCAGGTTGGGACTCTCTTGCCTGATGCACCCTCTCCTATGTGATTTCTATTCTTGCTTGTTATGGATTGTCCTTAACCTTAAGCCAACCTGATTTTAGATTTAAAAGCACAGCATTGAAGGGCAAGAGATGTGAAGGACAGAAGAAAAAAGGAGGACACCAAAAAGAAAAACACAACATCAAATGCCACAAGTTCTATACTTCTATCACGTGGCTGCTAACCGTGAAAGAAGTTTGATGGAGAAATCATCCAGCATCTTAAATAGCCACATAATTGGGAAACACATCAACTACCAAAGATGCCCAGTGGAGACTGGAGCAGCTCACACTGATTCTTCTGTTCATGGCAACGTGACTACCTTTCCCTCAGCGGGATTACTCTGGAGACTCACATCTCTTAGTCTGCTTTAATTCAGACACGAAGGACCCCGGCCATGGTCAGGTCTCTCAGGGAGCCACATTCACACGGCTCACAGCGGGCACTTAAAAGCCGTTAGCAGGCAGTGACCATCGAATACTACTGGTTTTATCACTCACACAAGTCAATCCAAATGTTTGACATTTTGAACTCCACCGTGGTTGTGTCCAGCTCTAACAACCACCTGCTCATCAGTAAATGCACTCCCTTTCTCCACCACTGGGGTATCACAGGAGCCCTGCTCCTTGCTAGCCTTGCCCAGCTGGTTAAGCTACCTCTGAGGATTGCTGTCAGTGGGTGCAAACAGGACAAAACCACCGTGAACATGCTTCACCTCAGGCCAAAGGCAAGGCTGAACCCAGGCTGGGCTCGTGGTGCTGAGTAGGGTTGTACAAGGCAAAGCCATCGCCATCACCTTCCCCAAGTGCCCTGGGCTGCATTGCACAAGACCAACCAGAGCCCAAGGCTGAGCCCACACTCCTCTGATCTGGCATTTTATTTTCAATATCACAACCTATCTTGTCTGAATTGAAGAGGTTCCAAACTTCTTTTCTTTCCAAGGCTGGACACATCTTGCATGCTAATTTAGGAGGCAATTGAGGGGGAGGGTACATTAAGAAAATGCACATAGCCATTAAGCCAGGGAGACTAAAGCATCCTGCCTCCATCAGCACTGCTGGATACTGTCTAGAGCATCGCCAGCTGCTCTCAGATACCTATAGTGGAGCTCTTTTATGCAAACACCTCCAGTAACAGCTTTTGTGGATCTGACAGACAGAGTGGTTAAAAATTAGGCATTCAGTGGGTATCCAGTGGAGAGACATTGTACAGCACATCTGAGAGGGGAGTCACACTCAGAAATTCTGAATTGTCTGAGTGAGAAAGGCTGCTCAGGCAGACAGGACAGATCCTGACAGCAGATCAAGCCGTGCTGTGAGTATTGCCCATATTGTCCCTCCCCATCTTCCCAGGAATCCCAGCTCCAAGAATGCAGATAGAAGACAGTCATATCCCAAAAGCAGCAACCAATGAGGTCACCTCAAATGGGAGGATGGAGGGATTATGGCGTTTTCCCCATCAACTCTCAAAATTTCCTACAAAACTTCTGCCTTTTTTTTTTTTTTTTTAATCACCAACTTGCTCAGGGCTCTCTCAAGGTAGTGTAGCTGTTTAATGTATTTTATTTTCCCCAGGATTGCTCGCTCTCAGTGTGAAAAGTGTCAGTTATTTTGGGAAACATGAAATCAAGTGGGCGAGCGAAGGAATTATTCATGAGGACACCATCAGGAGGAAGGTTACCTCCTTCACCCTGACAGGAGGCCAATAGCTCAACCATTGTTTCAGGCTCAAAATGAAGAGGCAAAAGTTTCTGCCCCTTTGAACCTGGATGAGGCATTAGGAGCTGAAATTATAGGGGAAGACACAGCTGATCCATCACCAGAGCAGCGAGGGGAGCTATGGCAACACTTGAGGCTCCTTCCAGCCCTGTGCATCTAAGTCTTGGTAAAAAAATCAATCAAGCAATATCTGTTAGGTTTGAGTACCCACAAAGGCATAAAGACGCTGCTTGCTTAGTCTGCAGGGCTGTGTCCTGCTTTAAATGCCTGCATGCCCTTCCCAGGGCAGGCACCCTCCCATTTCACCCCTGACTGATGAGGTGGAGAAGTGTGACTTAAAGCAATTCTTGTCTTCTAAATCTTCTCTTAGATGTAATGTTATTTTTCTACTCGGAGCAACCAACTCATCTGCACCTGCCTGTGAAAGTGGTACGCATTACAGATAATCTTCTCAATAAAAGATGCTAAGTTTGACACGTACAGGGCAGACGCAAGAGCTTTATTAAACAACTTCTTTTACCAAGGCCTTTAAGAAAACAGTCCTTTAGCAGCACTGACTCACCTCAGCTCTTCCCATACACAAAAGCTACACTGAGAGCCATTACACCATCATTTCTGGCTTGCAGCACTGACAGACTAGAGGGTTTGGCTCAATTCGTGATAGCAAGACCAGTGAATGGTAGAGAAGTCACGTACCCAGTGGAGACTGCTAGCTGTAGAGGGGTCACTCAAGTGAACAAAACATTACCTGAGCAAAAATGGTTTGGTTTTTTGTTTTGGTCTGTTTTTTTTAACCAAAATCCTGGAGCTGTTGAGGAAGTCCTTGAGTAATGATTTTTGATGTTCACTGCATTTTCTCTTGAATCCCATTGTTGCTGTAGGGAATACCAGATGCTCTGGCTATGCTGCTGTTGCCTAGGGACAGCCTTTGGATATTTTGTTTGATTTTTCTACTTCATCTATCGTCAAATCAAAATACCTTATCCAGACTTCCATGGACTCCTGTGGGCTTTGGTACCAACCATTAAAAGTGACTGCTAAGGAGCAACCACACTGTTTCTACCCAGGGCAGGAGCCAAACAGCCAGGATGGAGAGCTGACAATTTGGGACTGCCATTTAGGTTACTGCACAATACTTATCTAAATTACATACATATGTATTTCATATTTTATTTTTATAAATATATCAAGAATGTATACACAACCTTCTTAAAAAATAAAATGTCCCCCAGTGATGCTATGAAAAATCCCAGTATGCAGCCTATTTTAATTGAAGGCTGGTCAAACACAAATGCATGTGTAGAAACAAACTTTGACAGCACAGCTAAAGGGCCTTCTAGGGAAGCAGAGTTGATTAAAACCAGCAAACTAAACTTGGAAGCGAGGTGATAGAAACTGGCACATGAAGACGCGTTTTATTTCTTATTCTCATTGACACTCCTCTGTTATAAATAAGGCTGTTCTGAGAAAAAAAAAAAAAAAGTTGTAATGTTGAAATGTTGGATGGCAAAGCCACCACCTTTGTCACTGTTTGGATTAAAATGCATCTTTCCCCATCCCACATGCAAATGGAATATAAACAGTAAAAACTGAACATTTAAACAAATATTTGCATAGGAGTTTTGTTTGTTTTTAAAACACTTGGCCTGCTCCAGACATAATCCACAGACCACAAAGAGTGTCCTAAACCATCACTTTTTTTCCCCTACAAAAAAGGAACATGAGCACATGTATTACCAAAGGAAATCTGGGTAAGTGCAGAAGAACTTCAGGTGTACAGGCAAGATTTACACTCTCAGATGCAAGCACTGAACCAAGATGCCTCCACCCATTTTCATGTCTTGCACAAAACAGCTACATGAAGTTCCTGTAACAGTGTGATCCTGAACCTGAGTTTCAAGTAAAGGTGAGCCTAGGTTTCACATCTAGGACCAATGTCAGAAACATCACCCCAGTCTGGCTACCACTGTCATAGTTCATCTCAGCAATGATAAATTTTTGCCAACCAGGGTGCACATTTTTCTTTCGTAAAGTAGAAGACATCAACACAATCAGTGTTAAGAAGCATGATTTGATTTTGGATTAAACAAAGCTAAAAGACTGACCTTCTGTCTGTCACCAAGATCTTGATTGTCTTTGGTATTAAATTCACAGGCAGATTCTTCCATGTCCTGGGGAAAAAATAAAAAAAAAAAAAAAAAGGAATTTGTCTTATTCCCAAATTTTGTACTTGTGTTTACTCCAGTGGTATTTATACTACATAGTGCAGAGAAAGATTAGCTTCAGCTCAAGTGCAGGAAGGTCCAGAAATTAAAAACCCAAAAGTTTCCATTTTCTCAGCATTAACATGGATATACGGCAAAGGACAAACAACCCATTCTTGGGGGACAAAGTGGTTGGAAACACACAGAAAAAGCCTTAAAAAATAAAAGAAAAAAAATTCTTTGCTGTTTAAACTTCCTCTTTTAAGAAGTCTGAAAAATTTGAGATATCTGACACCACTGTATCAGGTGGGACAATTTTTCTAAAAACTTTTAAAATCTGACATTTCATCAAAACTTGAGCAGCTGATAACAGCTAAGGATGCTCTGCAGTGCTGCAGCCTCTATTCCCCCAGAAGTTTCCCCCTCACCCTACCTATTCCCCTGTTGGTGCCAATATCTCTATTTTAGAGATGCAAACTATTCAGAAAGAGCTGTTTTGTCCAAAGATCCCAGCAGGAAAAGAGCAGAGTGCGGAGCTGCAGAAAAACTGCCCTATCTCTGCTAGAAAAATCCTTGAAGCTTTAAGGAAAAACCAAAAGTGACAGCAGGAAGGCTCCAGAAAAGGCATGGGGAATTGAGTCCGCTATTGAGCAACAATATCTCTGTAAATTGTCCTCCCAGTGAAAAGCCAGTATGGTGCTAAAAACCACAGAGTTTTACATTGTTACCTAGAGCATGAAATAACGTCCCCGTTGAGGGCTGCAGGCTCATAAAGCATAACGGAGAGTCATGAATGGGATTTCCAAAGGTACCCAAATGCTTTTCAATAAGGCTGAACTTCTAAATTATTGAGGCACTTTAGAAAAATCCCACTTCATAGAAGTAAATCCACAAGATATCAGTATCCCTGTCAGTCTTCATGGACTTTGTGGTTACAGAATAAATGCCCTAACAAAACATCAGCTGGTAAATTATTGTGTGATTGCTGATGCCTGAGGATAATGTCAGGAGGGTGGCCAGATTCTCCTCACTTAATTCTTCATTTTGCCTTTGAAAATATCAACAAGCTGATCCGTAGTCAGCTTAGCTTCTGCAAAATTTGTATAATGCTCGTATTTGTTGGACATATTCCTCAGGCAGAGCAAAGAAAGCTAGTAAAAGAACACGAGGTAGGTTTTCAAAAATAACATATCTGTCAAAAATACTGTTTCTACAGCATGCACATGTTTTTCTTCACTGTGCATGTGGATGGACATCTATTTTGTAGGCAGTCGGTACAGAGCGCAGCAGGAGGCACCTGCACACATTCAAGGTTTGTGCAGAGGATTTTCTCTTGATCTCCTGGCAAATAAAATTTAATATGATAGAATATATCCGTTGGCTCTTTATATTCAGAATATCTAACAGCAAGAGAATGACTACATGCCAAGTGAGACACCTTAAGTACAAGATTAACATGCAAGCAACAAAACCTCTGAATTAGATGCCAAGATGTAAGAGATGGGGCTGGCTCAGCTCTGTCTTGGCCAAAAGCTACGAAATCCAGACCTGAAAGTCCTGTTTCATGCACATGAGAACTGGTAAAATCAGGTCTGTTGTTTAGTAACTAAGTTATCACCCACTCCCTTTTCAGCCTCCTCTGCCAAACTACCCAGAGCAGCAGATTAAGGCAAAAGGAACTTGCAAAGTGGAAATTCATCCGCATTTGTTTCTGGAGAAGACAACTGAAAGATGGGAAGGCAGAATTAGAAAGATGCAGTTCTGAGATACAAAGCATACCAAGACAAATGCCCATTACTCAGCAGTGTTCTACTACTTTCTTAGCAACACAAGTCACATGGATTAATTTTCTGAAAGAAAACAGACTGTCTCAACAGCAGCCTGATGGTCTCAGCAATTTGCTTTACAATTACTCACTAAACTACCTTGATTTAATTATTCAAGAAGAATCTCACTGCCACTGATAACTACTTAATTAAAAACACAACTTTAGAGCAATAAGAGAGTCACGTTATATTGCATTTGAAATAGATTTCTTGCTGAAAACATGCACAGTTCATTTTAACTGGCTTAATGTGCCAATATATTTAGAGTCCCAAGGATTTTAAGAATGACTCGAGCAACAGCGATCATCCAGGGGCTGCAAACAACACTCATAAGCTTGTTCTCATTCAGTGCAATTCTAGTAAAATCAAATTAAGAAAAGCACCACTGCAATAGAGCTAGTTTAGAGCATATGCACACTTTACATTCAGGAAAGTCAGAAGCTGAGAGATCAGGACAAGCTCCCACCCTGCTCACAGTCCTGCTCCACCTTTGCCAAGCACTGCTGCTGCCTGCCTCCTGCCCTTGACTCTGCTGAGGGGGGGCCACAGGTGAAGGTACCAACCTCAGCTAGGACTGCTCTTTGCATTCCCACCCAGGACACACCAGCAGAGGAGGATCCCCCCTGGTCCCAGCTGGGGCAAATGCAGGTGATTTCACCTCTCTCATGCCCCGCTATGACTTGCCTTTTCTCTATGGTACTGCTCTGTTACAGCCCCAAAATGGGAAATGCGTGCTCATTCTGTAAAAGCGCCCTTGGCCCTGGCAACCCTTCAGTGCTGCCCTCAGCTCAAAGCACTGTCAAGGCATGAACATCAAGTGTGCAGACTGTCCAGCTCCCGTGCCTGGACCTCAGTCCGGAAAGTCCCCAGGATCTCCCCCAACAGCATCTTCTGCCCCTGCGCATGGTGGGGGATACCCAGCCCTTTCATCCGCACCCCCATGTCAGCACGGTGGGGGCAGCTCAGATCCTCCAGGTTGGATGTCTCTGGTTAAGAGAAACTGCCTGAAAGCAATTCTCATTTTTTATGAATCTCAGCATTTTAATGGGAACCAAGGACAGGTCCCCGCAAGAGTCAAGAGCAGTCTTTGATAACTTGGGGGGGTTTTAACCTGTGACAAAAGGGGTTGTGAAGTAATTGGCTCGGTTTCCAGCATGATCGAGATGGAGCCAGGCTTTGGGGGACAGAGCTGTTGGCTGTCTGGGGTGGGATGGACCGGGTGCAAGCAGGGTAACTGCGGACACCAGCATGACTCATGCAGCACTTTGAGAGTACCGACTAGATTTAGACTGTGCCAAGTGATGTAGCAAAGCCTCCCAAATTACTAGCATGCCATTTACTATTTAGTTATTTAAAACATCTCTCCTTCCCCTTAACTAGGAGGTACTGGCTCCTTTGGTTTTAATACATTTTCAGTACAGCTGAAACTATATATGTATTTATATATGAAAAAATTAAATGACTGCCTTCTTGAATATTATCTTCCTGGTTTATTGTGTGCCCTCTCTCCCCTTCCCTTTCCAGAGAGACCAACCATCACATGAAAATGCTTTTCATCATCTGCAAAATTTGATGCCCAAAATAGCCCCACGGTTGCCCTAGCAACTAGCATTTATTCCCCCTCCCCCCAGCATCCCCCCCTTTGCATATTGCTGCATATTTCTATCATCTCTTTCCAGGCACAGTTCATAAACACGGCTGCATAATAAAGAATGTTATCACCAATGACTTACAGCCCAGCTGCTGCAAATAAGATATGAAGTGGCAGGGAAATACAATTTCATGCAGCTAGGACAACAGATTGATTGGGTGCCCTTCAAATTTGATGCCACTTCTTTAAGTCTGTCCAAATTCAAAAAAAAAAAAAAGTTAGTTTCCCCACCTCCCCATCTTTCCATGGTAGCAATAGACAATAAAAGTGGGAGATAATTCACTAGGACACTCATTATGTCTGCAGCAACCTTGCCCTGAGAGATTGACAATTTTAAGAGATGTGCTGCTTCTCTCTGCCACCTCCTCCTCTACTTTTCCCCCAGCTGCCCTTCTTCATCAAAAGTCTTATTCCTCCAGTTTGGTTGCCTGTTTAATTTAATTATCTTCTCTTTCAAATTATTATTTCTGTTTAGATTACTAGCCAGAAGGTTGTTACAGACAGAGACAAGCAAAGCCCTTAATTTCATCACCACCATCTCCAAATTTTTATCCTTATTTTTATTTAGTTTTGGTAGAACAATAGAAAAGCATCCCTCCCCTAGCATGTTTGTCAAAGAACATCCCATCAAGGACAAAAAGAATTTAAAAGCACACCTCTTCTTTCCCTCTATCACTTCTGATGGGTTGATTTTCAAAAATATGGAGATCTGCTTTGGAGGCTGACCTGAATGTGCAGAGATCACCTCGTGATCTCGTGGTACCAAAGGGCAATAAAGTACGACAAGGACCAGCTGCTACCAGATAGACTGTGCTGATGCACACAGGTTGTTCCTGCTTACAGGAGAGAAGACACCTCTGGGTGCAGGCAGAGACAACCCCAGGACATCACTGCACCCCTTCTTTCTGTCCCCTTCCTCCCCTCTCCATCACTAACAGTGGTTTACTGAATTCTTCTTCTACCCCGTTGTGCGTTGCCCAGAGCAGGCTCGCAGTGCCTGTCTCTTTGAGGCACTGTCCCTTCCTTACTCCCTCCCTCTCGGGTGCAAACTGCCTTCCCCGTGGCATCCTACGTAGGCTATTCCTTTGCAAGGAAAGGATGCACGATGCACAGAGAGGATGGGGGTCATTCTGTAATGGGGATCTCGGCAATGACCCCAGACACTGCAACTGTCGAGGGAAGAGCAAGACACAAGATATATAATGGGTGCACAGAGACCTCACTACTTGGAAATTTGCAGTGAAGGAATATTCCCATTTAACAAAGAGAAGAGAGACCCATCACAAGTGTTGTGCAGCCTCTGGCTCCAAATCATCTCTAGGATTACTTAACACTGATCAATCACAATCAACCAAATCAATCACAGAGGGAGGGAATAACTCCTTGCAGAAGCTGCTGTCTTAGTGCTCAACAGCAGCAACAACTCAAAAATTTTCCAAAGAGTCCTGAACTAACTCATATGCATCTGGAGACAACACAAAGGTTGTCAT